TGACGAGCGACGCACGCGAAAAGTTGAGAGTTGGCCATCTTTTTGCTTTGTGTTGGCGTGAGCGTTGTCGAATTTTGGCTATGTGGACGGCTGCATTTGAATTCATGTATTCATAGTCAGCTGTTGAAGCGACGCCAACGCCAACGCAACGCCAAAGTTCTATGTAAACGGGCCTTTAAAGTCTAAAGTGGCCAATCTGCAGCAGAGTTTTAGTTTTCGTTGGAAAAACACAATTACGTGCTACCGATGTCGCTACTCCTGCTGCTGCTGCTGCTGCTGTTGTTGCTCTTGTGCTGCTGATTACACTTGGCTGTTGGCTGTTGGCGGTGGCGGTGGTGTCGATAGTACTGTGCACATATTGCAGCGGTTACTTTCCATTGCCGCCTATGAGCTGTCAATTTCCAACACTGACACTTTGAAAACAAGCATGCCGTAGTAAATAAAAGCCAACTGACTCAACGGTCATCAGTTGGTCGATCGAAGCAACAGGGCCGATCACTGCAACAGCCGATTGATCTATCTACCAGCCGATTGATCCACCAGCCGTTGGTGGCTTCGCATAAAAAGTAAAGCCAATGACCGCGCGGCGGAAAAAAATAGCCAGCGGTTTGAGACGAATTAATTTTCTGTGAAGCTTTAATGAGCAGCAGCAAGCAACAGAACAAATGTGAAAATATAGAAAAATGCAATACCTTTTTTGCGCGCATCATCGGCCAGTCGCAGGAACATCTATGGGAAAATCATTAGATACAGCAGCCGTTCACCGATATTTTTGCTAACACACAGTCAACTGCCAGGAGAGCAACAGTATGTATTAATAATAACAACAACAGCAATGAAGCAGCTGCACCAGCTACGCTTAGCCTGTCATTATAAAGCCACCGCATATGGTTGGGCTTGACATCGGCGGACAGACATCGGTTACAGACAACACTTAAATGGAAATAGACTTGTTTGGGTAAGCGATACTGCACAATTGTCATCGATCATATCGATCTTGCTGCCAATCACCGATCCGCTGATCGCCAATTGCCAATCAACAATCAACGTTTACCTATTTCAATTGCAACTGCTACGTCTTCAATGTGCTGCATAAGTATGTATGTAACTTTAAGCTACAGCTAGCTTAGCTATCTGTCCTCTCATGCAACACTGACTGACTCTTTCGACATACTGTTGGATTTTGTTGGACGAGTATGCAAGCATTAGACAGCGCAGTCACAAGCAATTATCATCATTTATGACATACAACAAATATCCATATGTGGTAAAAGTTTTAATTTCTTGTTTTTTTTTTTTTAGTTTTGTTGCGCTGTGCTCTATAAATGGTCAATGTGGCCATAACTCATTTACGCTTAGAAACTTTGTCGTTTAGTACAAGCCAAGTTAAAGTATCAAAATGTTGAAAATGCGTTTTAATGTTTAAGCTCCGAACACTTTGACGACTGCAACTTCACGACGTAACGACAGCGACATCATTTTGTCGACAAATGTCGCCTTGAGGCCAGCTTCTTAAACATTTTGAAGACCTCAGCGACATAGCAAACAGCTGATTTTAAAGTTTGACATTTTGGTATATTTATTTCACAAATTGTGTATTTTTATTTAAGTAAATAAGAAAAACATGAACAATCAAGAATATGTGATTAATTTTGCGACAATTTAATTTTGCAGCACTACATCTACTCATTGTCGCCGGCAAAATTAGAAATAGATTTAATTTGGCGACGTCGACAATTGCAGTCCTGCAGCCAAGATGTCGTGCTGTCGTCAAAATAATTGTGTCCGTAAGAACGTGTGCATTTAAAATTCGACAGATGCTGCTTGTCGCTTGCTGTCGTCAAAGTGTTCCGAGCTTTAGGGAAGCAGCAGAAGAAGAACATCATGCGCCTTTTATGAGTTTCCCCGACAACCTAAATTGAGCTAGCGAGCTAAAGCTCTTGCTTACCTCTAAGTTGCTGGCGAATATCTTAAGGAATGCTATAGGTTGAGGTGTTTGTTCTTTGTCAAGGAACTCACTTATACCGCGATCGTTGATCCTTTGTGATACCACTGCGAATGGTAACTGTTAAGTTAAAGCGAGAAACGCAGCGTGCCGAGAACGAAGTGTCGCCGCAAGCGGCAGAAGCTAGTCACGGAGAGCTCCTCCGAAATAGTGAGACAATACGAACCCAATTGCCTAAGCCAAGCCGCAATCTGGCAAAAGCTGGGCAGTTTAAGAGGAAGTGTTGAGATGATTCCGCCTCGTCGTCCCCCATGCAGCTACGACAAAAGGAGTCCGGTAAAATATTTAATCTCACTGCCTATGAATGCCGATGAATGCCGATAAGACAGTGCCCAGTCAGTAAACCTGCCGCGAGCCTAAGTAAAGGCTTTCCCCCAGCAAGCTTCGAACGTACCGTAGGTGAGCCCGAGACTCTGATGGCTGTCTAAGTGGATGTTAACTTCCTTACACCAGCGCGCCAAAAAGCAGCCAATCGACTGCTTCTTTAATAGCAGCAACATCCTCCTGAAAACTACTATAGTGATCTGGAGGCCTAAATTAAAGGTTAATGGATAGCTGCCTGAAAAGTATCGGGTAAAAATTGCCAGAGACTAGAGAGTCTGGTCAAACACTTATGTACACTGGCACGATTTATCTAAAACCGATTATGACCTGTAATTTTCTATCGGTTAACGGTTTAATTGTATCAAAATTTTCCTTTCGGTTAATCGAACGATAAAATAAAGAATTTTTAATTTGTTGTTAGTTACGGCCTTTTATATGTACGTGCCATTTCAAAAGTATTTAAATACTTTTTGTAAAAGTAGCTTGTACTTGTAGTATTTCAATTTTTTGTGAGGTATTTGTATTTCGTATTTAAATATTATTTTACAAGTATTTTTAACATATCTGCTTATATATGTTTATCTATATACATATGTTTGTACTAGATTTAATCAGAGATGTTAGATAATATTTGAATACAAAATGCAAATACGCCACTGACTAAACGTCAGTGATTAATACTTAAATCTATTGCAGTAAACAATTAATTAACTTTTTAACCTGCATAAGTACATATGTAAATTAGGGTGCCTCACCATAAAGAAAAGTTGCGGATTTTCAGCGGAATTGTAGAACTTATTATATTTTAAGACTTCGTCCGAAATATTTTGAAAAGATATTTAAATTTACGTGAGCTGCACTGATTTGAAAATCACCCTCATTGCAAGAGTCGTATCGAATGTAAGTCGTTTTTCGATAGTCGAATCGTATCGAAAATTTCACGTCATTGTCCAAAATTTCCACTCGACTAGTGTATTAAAACGGAAAAACTTGGCAGCACTGCGAAGTTTTCGACGATTTTCGTCGTTTACTTATTTCAGCACGACAGTAGGCAATGCCAATGTTGTCACGTCGTACAATTTAGCCTAATTTACGTCTTGCGCAATGAGGCTGAATATCTCGGAAGAGCTTTTTATTGTGGTACAGTTTTTAAATGATTTTTTGTGAAAAAAATTTATTAAACTAATTTTATTTATAAAAACTCGATTTTCGGAGGTATTTTCTAATCGATCTAGCTCACGAAAATCTAAATGAATTTCTGAAATATTTTGGCGGAAGTCTTAAAATATAATTGATCTTATAATTCCGGTGGAAGAACAGTACTGATTTTTTTCTGTATGGAGAGTGATGCACCCTAATGCACGTGTCGTAACGGCCATATCAATTGTTATTTATTTGTCTTGTTTATTTATTTTTTTTTCAGAATTTCCAAGTAAACAGTACAGTTCATTCTGTAACAAAACCCATATAAACACAAGTTTAGATCTTTATAGAAAACTAAAAACCAATGCAATCAATTTCCATTTGCAATTTTCATAAATGGAATTTTTTTACAGAAGAAAACTGCAACATCTTCGGCAAAAAGAAAAAATTCTAAAAAATCAAAGGTAATTTTTAGCCACTTAAAACTTGCGAATTATTTACACTAGGGCTGTTCAGGATGTTGTGGAAATGGTATTGGATTTGCAGTTGGAATTGCATTTGCAAATCTTTTGCTTGCTGAGTGGAAGATCGAGCTATCTCGGTAGCCAGTTCGAAAACGGCCTGTCTCAGGAAACTTTTCAAGGCCGCCCTATCTCGGAATTTGGTACAAAATCGCCCTATCTGAACTGAAATTATTTTGAAAATATATTAAGATAGGGCGTTTTTGAATTTAATACTGTATAATCAAAAAATTTTCTTTTGAGAAAAAAGTTTGAAATTTGGATGAAATTTTTTTGATTTTTTTTTTGTAACTTTCTACGAAGTTTTGAACTTGGGTTTATATGGGTTTTGTTAGAGAATAAACTGTATTTTATTTGAAAGTTCATAAAAATAAATCCTCACAATATAACTTTGAAATTGGGGTACTGTAAATATGTATGTAGATACCCGCGACAGGCGACTTTATTGAAAACCAAAGAAAATAAACCTATTCTACGATTTTTAAAGTTCAATGCTCGGGAACACACATACATACATACATACTAATGAATGGATTGCATCTCTGCTGCTTAACAAAAGGCTTTTCTAAGAGCAGATATTTAAAAAAATCTTTTTTTCATTCATTCTTTTGTTCATTTCAAGCCCGTGAGTAATTCCATACTCGTATGTCTGTATGTATGTATGTTAGGGCGTTCTTTTTTAATTTCGAAATAAAAAGCAGATTTCTATAATCGCCTACCTAATTTGCATACCTCCAAAACTATTTATTTCCTTCAATTTAAGAGAAATTGAAAGTTCAAATTTGAAATTGACTAATCAGAGCTTTGCTTCGATGATCTTTTAAATTTTGAGAGTGACTTATATTTACATTGCGAAAGTAACAAAACCAGTGCACCCTTAATGCTTATAAATAAAATTGCTATCAATGAGGCAATTAATATGTATACATATATTGTTTATGAAAAAAATTAATGAGATTATAGAATTTGAGTATTTACATGATTAGATTGGTTCAGTTGCCATTTTGACTTTGAGTATACAAGTACAATGCTGATATTTATAATAATTTTTTGCATATTTATATTGAGTTCAAGTTTGTATTTAAGGAAGCTCAGTAAAGATTATTATCTATGGGCGCCTTGCAAGCGTTTGAAAACACTGGATGGCAGTCGATTGGCGGACAAAGTGTATATAGTGCCAGGGCGCACAGTTTTTGGCAACAATTTTGACATAGTGGGTTCCTCTCCCGGTGAGTATGAGCGTCCAAAAGAAATGGGAGTTAGGTTTGTATGTTCTACCTTAAAAGAATATGCACATATACATACATACATATGTACGTAAGTACTAGGAATGTTAATCCCGGGATTCCGGGACTCCGGCCTGTCTTGGCAAATAATCCCGGGATTTTCGGGATTTGTAATTTTCACTGATGGTAATAATAGAAACTTCTTTTCTTGACCAGTATTGGCTATATTTTTTTTTTTTATTTAATAATTCATATTTTTTTATAAATGTCTAGCTGATTATATATATAACACCGCGCGATAGTAGATTTTAAACACAAATATCAATATATTCGCGAAACCATTGGCCAAATATAGTAAAATTGCCTTTTTAGTTTTTCACTCTGATGTCAGTAATTCAAAAATGATTTAAAAAATTCAGAGAAATGTGCTTAGAGAAGAAGTATGGGTATCAAATTGAAGAGGAAATCCTGTAGAATTTAAACAGATTCAAGTTTTTGGCGCAGAAGGACTGTAAAGTATTGAGAATGTCCTTTTAAAATTTTATCCTTGAAATTTTGAAATATTTTTTTTTTTTTAATTATAAGTTAAGGACTTATACAAACTCGATAAAATTCTCGAATTTGGTCCTTCTAACTTAATCAGCTTAAAAAATTACCTTTTCGTCCTAGTGAATCCAAAAAATGTGATTTTTTTTTAATTCTAAAGAAATTTCCTCTTGCATCTTGTACCCATATTTTTATTCTACATTGCATTGAATTTTTAAAATAATTTTTGGAATTAATCATATCTTTGAAATTACAAAATCCTTTAAAATAAATCCTGACGTCAGAAAGAAAAAATAAAAAGGCCAGTTGAAATAAAAAAGTAGGTTTCAAACCCATTTATTTATTATTTATTTTATGGTAGGAGAGCTTCTCAAACAATATAGAAGCAATTTTTTCGATTTAAGTTGTTGAGAAGTAATGAATATCTAAATCCCGGGATCACGCGATTTTGATAACGACATCCCGAAAATCCCGGGATCAGAAAAAGCTGAAAAATTAACATCCCTAGTAAGTACATACGCTTATATACATTAGACCGTACCGCCTTAAAAGCAAACAAAAAACTTCGCCCTACACCCCTGAGCCTAAAGCAATTTTGCAAGGCAATTTTGAAAACAAATGTTTTTGTTGGCCAGACCATGCCTTTTTGAATTTTTCGGTGGCACCTACATTCGGAAATAATTTATTAATTTTTTTTTTTATAGTAAAACTTAAATAATCAAAATACTTCCTTAGCAAAAGTTTATTAATACTTTTTGGTGAGCTTTAATTTACTGGCGTTAGGGCCTGGTGGTTGAGAACTAGAACGGGGTACTCTAAGCCAATGAGCTTTTAAAGAAAAAAAAAACATGGTCGAAGATATGACGAAAACTGTCAAAACCAGGGACGTGAACCGGAGGAAAAATTTGTTTGGTTCGGTTCGGCGGTTCGAACCGTTTTTGCACTTTTGGATTGGTTCGTCAAAGCGGTTTTTTTTGGTCTTTGAACCGGGGTTTCGGTTCGGTTCAACGGTTCGAAAAACAAAAAAATTACGCGCAAGTTTAAGTGTCAGGTGTCAAGTGCAACAACGCGCAAGGTTAAGGGTCAAGTCTCGGTCAAATGAGATGGGTTGCCTTTACATTTGATATTGTCACATGGTAAACAAACATGATGGGTATTACCATGTTTACCAAAAAGAAAAAAAACTGGGTACATTTATCTATTGAAAATTGGTTGAAACGAACCTTTCAATCTTTATAGAAAGTGGTTCGGTTTTCGGTTCGGATCAAACATTTGTGGAAAATTTCGGTTCGGTTAATGGTTCAGTTAATTAATAGAAAAGAGCGGTTTTCCGGTTCAAAACCGGTTCGGTTCAAAACCGGTTCGCGTCCCTGGTCAAAACCCGACCGCTTCGTTGGGCAAAAAAATCGAAATTGGCTTGCGAATATATTTTAGATTCGGGGGCGTACTGCAAATATTTTTTCAGGGTCGAATGTACATATCGACGGTACTTTGGCAAAACCTCGTATCTCAAAACACTCTCTCTAATAATCAAAAAAAAAACTCTCCATTAATAACAGAAAATCATTTTTAATGAATTTTTTTACTGAATATTAAAGATTAAGCATTACATATCGAGCCCTAACCGCCAAAATAACGTAAGCGACATTTTTTTCAAAATTTTCTTTTTGATGCAGAAATATTCCTAGAGCATCTAGATGCATCGTGGTATTTTAAGGCCTATTTTGAATTTATTTTACGAGATACGAAATAGTAGTGATTTCTATGATGCGAGGTTTTGCCAAAGCACCGTCGACATGTAGATAAATATGTACATATTTATTCAAAATTTTTCTCCCCATAATAGAACAAATTTTCTACTGGTGTCGCGACCTCTATCGTCGCACTAATGGCAAGCCATATATTTTGAATTTCTTCAAAGTAAGCGTTTATTCGATAACAAGTCCGGAAGACGTACAAGAGGTTCTCCAGAGTCAAACTTTAATAGCCAAAGGCATAATTTATGAATTGGTGCGTCCATTCTTGGGCGATGGTCTGTTAGTGAGCACAGGTAAAAGGGACACGAAATTTTTTCTGAATTCAACCAAGAGAATTAAAGTTTTTATTTATTTTTTTTTTTTACAGGCGACCATTGGCACAGCAGACGCAAGCTACTCACGCCAGCTTTTCATTTTAATATTTTACAAAATTTTCTCGAAGTTTTTACGTAAGTTTTATCCAGCTATAAGTTTATTTAGTTAATGTAATTTCGAATGAGTGCATTTTATTCAATTCGTAGGAACGAAAGCACCAAGCTGGTGAAATTATTGCAATCGAAGGATGAAATAGTGAATCTAAACGATGTCATACCGGAATTTACTTTAAATAATATTTGTGGTAAGTAAAACGTAGCAACCCTCATCGAAAATTATTTCAGACTAAAGTTTTCCAAGACACCTTTTTGTTTTAGTTTAATTTTGTAGAATCAAAAATAAGTGACAACCTTACACTACTATCCTAACGGATAACACTTCGCATATAGGCAAAGCATTGTTTAAGAGCCTTATTTTAGTATCCATATACATACCTTTATTTTCTAAACAAAAAATTAAATAAATATGACATTCAAAATAGGTGGCAACCCTATAGAAAAACATTTCTGAATTGTGGACTTTGGAAATACCTTCCATTTGGTATCCATATTAAGATATTTTATTTTGTTTGTAACTAATTTCGAATAGATGGCAACCTTATATGAGTATTCTCGGAAATAATACTTATTTAGATAACCTTAAAATGCGAAACATTACAAAATTTCATCAAAATCATTAGAGCCGTTTCGGATCAACCTATATATGTATATAAACGGATATATGTATGTACATTAAGGTGGTCCTTAAATGCAGGAAGCAAAAATTTTTATATCAGATTTCCTAAGCCTCAACCTCTACGTCGATGCTACTATTGTCGAAGATATTATATACAAATTGTGATCGCGTGTCGCACATGGGGCAAAGATCAGATTCCTCTATGGAGATTCAAAAAATTAAAATTATTATTTTTTTCATCTAATACCCAAAATCGATACAACTATAGTCGAAGATATCACATATAAATTTTGGCCCAGATTAGAGTCGGTGGCGCACAAGGGTCAAAATTCAGATTACCCTATGAAGGCGTCTTAACCGACTGAAATCGGGACCAAAATTTGTATGCGATATCTTTGACTATGGTAGTAGCGATTTTGAGTATGAGTTGGCAAAAAATAATAATTTTAATTTTTTTACAAAAATTTGTATGTATGTATATCTGAGATCGTGGTATTACCGATTGAAGGGGTGAGACCGAAAAAATCGCTCATTTGATTTTTTTTAAGGACCACCCTAATGTACATATATATATTTATATTCAAGGTAAAATAATATTACAGAGAGAGGTATACGCGGTTGGGTAAGTGTCACTCTTGCAAGAGCCGGACACTCACAGAGAAAACATTTGACAGTCTCCTTTGAACCTGAGAGCTTGCAATGTAACAGAACCTGTTATAAAGTATTCCTTTCTACATGCACACCCATGGGCCGGTGTCCTGTGCAAACAACCCTGAGTTTGTAGATATCTTTCTTGTAGTGGGTATTCCAGAATATCTAGTTATTCTATATGGTTGTGTATAGCTCCTCATCTGCTTAGTTTTCGTGTGGGTAAACTTTCCAGAATTCTGCTTTGTTTTTCCTAAGGCCGAAGCCACGCAATGAGCTGCAAAGCGGTGATCAGTTTAAAATTAAAACATAAGAAATACTACTATTGAAGTGGCGGCGCCGCTTAGAAATAAAAGCCGCTCACCGCTCAGCTACTCATTGCGTGGTCTCGACCTAAGGAGGTGTCCATCGGCACACCTATAGTGAAAAGCTGTCTCTTTCTACGATTTGATCAAACATGGAAACCAACTCTTCCTTGTAGTCTTCCATTAGTTGTGACCTAACTGCCTGACTTTCTGAGAAATTATTCTAACGAAAGTTGATAATATTGCCAAGTAGCACAAGGACGGACCAAAACAGGGGGTGAGTAACTTAATTTGAATATATCGGCATCGGTTCAAAATGGATGGGAGCTTCGTCAACAGCAATTTTCAGTGCGAATTATATCAAGAATCTCCTTAGAGAGATCCGGATTTTCGTCAAAACAGCCTGTGGTACTTGGATTACGAAGACAGCATTCACAGGGATAGTGATTGTTTATTTGCTAACAGAAACATGGTAATCGTGTCAAGAGGGCCAGGCTCTATATTTCGTTAAATCTTGCCCGCACATGCGTCCTAAAATATACTAGCCAGAAATGCGACTGCTTTATAAACCATTGTGAAATATTAGCGTTTTTACTCGCTAGAAAATAATTTATGCAACCTCACTACGCGGTTTTGCATTTTTTTTACGCGGTTTTTTTTGTACTTTAAACGACGATATGTATTTATGTATATGGATTGTAAGACAAAATAGATATGTACTATGTAACGTAACTTTCACTTTTCCAGTGTGGCCCAGGCGAACTTACAGTTTTTTTTATTTTTCAATTTACAGAAACCGCGCTTGGTGTCTCCTTGGACGACATACCTGGCAGTAAAGAGTACCGTCACACCATACATAACCTAGAATTGATGATGGTGAAACGTCTTTGCAATCCTCTTCTGTATTTTGAATTGATCTTCTACTTGTTTGAAGATTACAAAGGATTTTACAGAGATTTGAAGGTGGCACATGACTTCAGTGGCATGATTATCCAGAAGAAACGTGAAGAATATCGCAGCAAACAACGTAACGCAAATGACGTTAGGCAAGCAAAGAACAACAACAAATACGTATAAAGGGCAATTAAAAAAAAACAATTTTCTTCTAACATCCAATCATTTAGCGACGAAACGGGCAAGCGTAAGCGTTACGCCATGTTGGACACACTCTTCAACGCCGAGTCAAAGGGCATTATCGACCATCAGGGCATTTGCGATGAAGTGAATACTTTTATGTTTGAGGGCTATGACACCACATCGACTTGTCTCATATTTGCTTTACTCAATTTGGCTACGCATCAAGATATACAAGAGAAATGTTATCGCGAGGTGGAAAAATGCGGTGCGTAGCGAGAGTTAATATGTATATAATAAAAGTAGCTTAATGTAAGGTTATATTCTGCTTGCACTACAGATTTGCCAAATCTCAGCATTTTCGACTTCAATCAGTTGGAATATGTGGAGCGTGTTATAAAAGAGACACTGCGTTTGTATCCATCAGTACCGTTTATTTCGCGTCGCTGTATGCAACATTCCGAGCTCAACGGTTTGATCCTACCCCCGGATACGGAGATTAATATACACATTTACGATATAATGCGCGATGAGCGACACTTTCCGGATCCTTTGAAATTTGATCCAGATCGATTTTTACCGCAAAATAGCATAGATCGTCACCCCTTTGCTTTTGTGCCATTCAGTGCGGGTTCAAGGAATTGCATTGGTTTGTATATCTATGACTGGAGAGATGACTATTGAAAAAATTTAGGTAACTGTTATTAATCCTTTTCCATCGCCCGCAGGTCAAAAATTTGCAATGCTAGAGATTAAGGCCATTTTGGTGGGTATTTTGCAGAATTTCCAGCTGTTGCCTGCGACGCGCTTGCAAGACATACGCTTTGAAAATGGTTTGGTATTGAGAACAAAGGAGAATGTGTTGGTTAAAATGATTAAGAGAAGTAAATGAATATTGGATGCTTAAAAATAAAAGAGTGCTGCCGCAACGAAGTTTCTTATAATTTGTAGACGAGGACAGATATCTGATTATTAAGCACACTTAAATGGCATTTTTCAATAAAAGTTTTGTCAGTTTAAGCGCAGGCCAAGAAATTTCGCCAATTGGCCCGTTCGTTTGCAAAATTTCGCCAATTTACACCAATTGAAGACCGATTCCTCTGCACTTGGTTCTTACATTGTGCAGTCGAGTCGAAAAATCTTTTCTTCAAAGCAACATCATCCATATGTACGGTGACGTAAATATGTCCATTAGACTGTGTCAAATAAAATGATTTTTTTTTTCTTTCGGTACCATACGAAAATTTCTTTGTCGGTTCAAAAAAAATAGTTATGGCGAAATTTCAGCCTTCTATCTTAATTTTTCAGTTAGCGCTCGCCAAAATAAGAATTTTCAATGAAAAAGATTTTCCCGCCACCTTTTTTTTTATAAACAGTTAAATACAACAAGCACAAAAAAACTTTGGTGTGGAGAATAAAATTCTCTACAAAGGTAACTTTTTACGAAATTTAAAAAACCAACACCAACCATACTAATTTGGTTTAGATCCGATCATTGGATCATGAAGAAATTAACGGTACTTCTAAATTTTTACATGAGAATTGAAGTCGGTGGTGTTTTTTGCTTAAAAATTACTTGTTATTGTAACAATTAAGTTGTACCGAGCCCTACACAAAGGAATTTACATATACATATGTATCGCGTAAAGTTTATTATGAACTTATTGAAGAGTTCCAATACAAATTTTAAAAAAATTTCTTCATTATTTTTAACCGGCTTCAAAAAAAGGAGGAGGTTACCTATTCGTCGGAATATTTTTTTTATGTACATATGTTACCGCAAAACCGATTTCGATAATTTTTTTTTTCAGAGGTGGTCCCATCCTAATTTGGTTTAGATCCGATTATTAAATCATGAAGAAATTAACGGTAATCTTAAAGTTTTACATGAGAATTAAAGTCGGTTTTGTGTTTTGCGCCCCCCTTAGCCCGTACCTGCGTACGCTCATGCTGGAAGCTGCTCATAATTAAAACCAAATAAAACGATTGCAAGCCTCTCAACTTTTTGTGTTCCACCACAATCTGGGAGTAATTTTCCATTCCAATGTAATACTACGCTGTCAACGATCGAACTATTTTCTTTAATATCTGCTGCCATCGTTTTTCTTATTTTAATACGTCCTCTATGTACTAAGCTATGGCTAATATTAATTTTTGTAGGATCATGACCCAAACTTTTTACAGCAGCTACTAAAATATAAGTATCATTTCTACTGGAGATATTTGATCTATCCAAAGCTGATGTTAATTCTGGAGTCATAATATTAATTTTGTGGCCATCTGACTTGAATAGGAGCTAGATGATCTGCTGATTCCTTCAAACGAAATAGACGTACATAAATGTGAAGTTCGTAATAAGATAAAAATTATGTATTCAAACTCATACTAATTACCATTTTTACTATCGTAATTTTCTACTAGTTCTAGAAGGGATTAGTCATCTTCTACATCATACGTGATACAGGTGTATGCTGATCTTTATTTTTCTGCGCTAATGAAAAAAGTTCTTCAGGAGATAACTCTTCAGATGAATTTTTTTTTATCGAACAGCAAATAGTTCATCAAATTTTTAAACAATATTCTTTACTTTTGATATGTTAAAATTTAAGTGTTTTCTTAATCGACTTTTGTCCAAATTTTTCCACTCTTTAAAGTGTGTCTCCATTTTGGTGATTGCATGTTGCTTTTTTATATGTAAGTGCAACATTTATAATGCTCCAAGTATCTTTAACTTCTTGTATAACCTCAGTAGCACATGAACGAATCTTTTGTTTTAAAATCTTGTATTGATACATAAAACAAGTAATTTTTAGCAAAAAAAAAACCGACTTAAAAAAAATATATATATATCTAGACACTACCTTTCCGTTGCAAAAATAATTATTGAAATCGGTTGACGTGGTGCAAAGTTATGCGGTAACATACATAAAAAACAAAAACAAAAAAAAAAAAATATTCCGACGAACTGATAACCTCCTCCTTTTTTGGAAGTCGGTTAATAATTCAAAACGTCTCCGTTTTTTTGCAGTTTTCGTTGACTGAAATTATTATTTAAAGCACCCACTAGATATATGTACATATTTTGACCTATTTCATATTTCATTTAACTTTATTGGCTCTAAAACAAACGGAAGTGGTTTTTTAAATTTTCTAAAAGGTTACCTTTGTAGAGAATTGAATTATCTACAAACGCACACCAAGGCTTTTTTGTACTTGTTGTATTTAACTGTTTATAAAAAAAAAAAAAAAGTGGCGGAAAAATTTTTATTATTGAAATTTCTTCTTTTGGCAAGCGCTAACTGAAAAATTAAGATGTAGGGCTGAAATTTCGCCATAACTATTTTTTTGTAACCGACAACGAAATTTTCATATGGGACCGAACTTTCATTTTATTTGACACAGTCTGGGAAACAAATCACTAGTCCAGTTATTCAATCGCTTCACATGGGCAATTTTGCAAACTTAATTTCTCCAACCTGCCATATCACATCTTCCTGAATCTGCGCAACCACAACCAACCACAATTTTAGTAAGCAACCAAGCATTAGCCCTCTGGCTATTTACCGGCACTGCTACCGCAACAGCAGCCGTTCATTTCTCCGTCATGCCTCAACGTCTATGACCACAGCCAATAGTTCAACGCCACAAATGTTAGTCACTGTTGTGTCGCTTAACATAGAATTGGTTCTAGGCTCTTAATCAACAATAACCATTGAATACGTAACAAACGCAGCAACATTTACAGCATCAATAACAGAATCAACAGCAAGGTCAACCGCTGATACAGCAACATCATGTCTCAGCAATAACAACAACATTCTGGCGCATTTAATTATTTGTTTGTCATTGTTGTCATTACCAAACAAATTTTTAGTTATTCGCTCCTCGGAGGGGGAGTAAATGTAGGGTATAAATACCTTGTTCTTTTATACTTGTACAATTTTTATTTTTTCAATAGTTCTTAGATTTTATTAGAAGTTCTTAGTTAAAAGTTTTTAAAATCATTAAAATAAAAGTCTCCAAATTGAAAACATAAAATTTTCTATTGAACAATAAATAATTCAAAATTTTAAAAAATAAAATATCATCATGATATAGTAAACCTGCCTGTCACAAGGGAGAGGATTGCTTGGGCGATACAAAGCTTTAAGCCGTATAAAGCGGCGGGGTGGCGGGGGGGGTTCATATACATTCTCTGCTATAGGTTCATTCCTTATCTTTTTGGAATAAAATCTGAAGTGTCAAAATGCTAGAGCGTTAGAGCGTGAGCAAAATGCGCTCACTAAAAGAGAATAACAGGAAAAAGTAAAGGAACGCAAATAACCAAATTTTTAGTCCAAAGAATGGCAACAACAAAACTAACGTCAAATAAGAATAGAAATGTATGTACAAAACACATTCACACAAGCACGAGCACAACAAACACTTACTATATCAATTATTTTTTGCGTATTCTTTAAATTCCGTTAATTTAAATTCAGTTGAGTTTGACACTTTTCAAGATATTGCCTGCAAAAATTCTTGTAACTAAATCTGACTACTTCGGACTGAAGAGAGTCACTCTCACTGAGTGTTGCTCTCTCATTTTTGCTGTCATTTTCGAGTTAAGGAACGCTTTTTGGACTAAATCTGACTACTTCGGACTTTTTCTGACTATTTCTGGGAGATAAGGAACGCAACTTTAATAGATGCTAGCTAAATATAAACTACATACTTATTTTTCAACAAAAAACCTTACTCGATAGTAAATTTCCAATATTTTAAACGTATTATGAATAGGAACTTATACAAAACTGACAAAGTGGCAACCATCTATAGAAGGAAGAAATCAGCTGACACGGAAAAATCTAAATTCCGCAGAGTTGAGTTTTCATTTACATGGCGCTCTGGTAAGACAGATCGTGTCAGATGACTCGGGTTTACGTACCGGTAAGTTTACGTTCTTGACTAATTTCACCTTAACGCAGAAAGTGAAATGTGTACCGGTTCGGGGAAAATAAAACTCATGATAAGGCTGATTGTAAACTAATAGGCGTCTTCATCAAAAGTGATAAACTTGATGAAGTGATAAATTTATCATTTTGATAAATGAACTGTTACTACGTTTATGCGTAAGTTAATTCACGAATCCATTTCATGAATTTGGTTTGAAATTCGCTACATAAACACCATTTCATGAGATCAATTATACACAAAAGTTAACCATGAATTCGGCATCATTTCATGAAATCGTGAATTGCAAGTCCGGCAACGCCACGTTTCACAACAGCTGTTTACTAGTGTTAAAGTGTGTTTGCATTGTTCAACTTTGCGTTCAACATTTGCGTTCAACTCAGCGCAGGGTTGCACGAAAAAAAAGTAGAATGGCTAAAAATATCAAAATATGAAAAAATATCAAAATATTCGCCATAAAAAGGTGTTTGCATTGTTCAACTTTGCATTCAACTTTTGGTTGAATGGCCTTTCAACTAATCGCTTTCAACAAAGTTGGTCGCCAGCCAACATTTAGCCATTAAACTTTTTTTTCGTGCAACCCTGCGTTGAGTTGAACGCAATTGTTGAACGCAAAGTTGAATAATGCAAACACTGCTTTATGATGTTTTTAGATTAATAACCATGAGTGGGACAACCAGGATTTTAAACACGGGAAAATAAATTATTCTTTACCTTATGTGTGCACACGTTGTCAGAAGCGAAAATTAAGAAAATTGCAGTAAAAAGCCACCACCAAATTGTAAACAACGAACAAATGTAAATAAACGGCTAATGTCAAAGTCGCCCAACTTTTTTCCTAAATGCGATTATAACGGGCTACTAAGAAGAAGGCGTGATCTTGTATGTAATGAAGAATTCATGAATTCTGTCGCATAAACGTAGTATGTCAAACTTTGTATGGAAATCTATTTAACCAAAGTTTATCACTTTATCAAATGACTTTGGTTGGTAAATGAATAAATTTTAGAAAAACTCAACTCTTACAGGTTGCCAGATAGTGGCTTTTGCTAAGAGCACATAGAAGCAAATGAACACTATGGCCGCATTTCTTTATTCATTCTGAACGTTTGGAATAAACTTTTTTGTTTACTTATTCTTTAGAACGTTCCTGATGATATGCTAACGTATATTTCAAACGCATTTTGTTTATTCCGGCTGTGAAATTCGATTATCCGGAATGTATAAAGAAACGCAGCCAATGTACGAGATAAGAAGGAAACGTAACTAGCCATATAAGTTAAATAATAAACAGTTTTATGCAATTCTTTACCAAGGTGCGTTCATGAAAGAAGGCGGATAAACTGATAAATTTAGATGAAGACCCCTAATATATTTGGCCTTATCATGAGTTTCATTTTCCCCGAACCGATTCACATTTCAATTTTAATTTCCATATACATATTTACTAAGGCCCTGTCTCCATAGGAAAACACTGATGTCGTGATAACCATGTCACAAAATATATTTCCAATGGAGACCGCCTATTTCTCCATGATCCAACTACGCAAGATCTGACAAGATGAAGCAAAAGAAAAAAGTAATTTTCTGGCTGACGTTTGTAATTTCGGCGACATGTTATTTTCTTTGAAAAGTAAACATAGAATATGAAGACGAAGCATAAAGAAAAAAATGAAAGCAATGTTGTAGCACATGTTTGTGCTAAGCAATTTATTATTTTTGTACTTGTTTTTGTGTCCAATTACCGCGCACTTCATTTTTATTACATTTGCACAAAAAACTTATTGAAAATCGCTTAAAAATCACTGAAATAAACCACCGTCAAAATACACATAAAGAAAGAAGCAAAACAGAAATAGCAAACTTCAAAATTACGAACGTCACACACTTTTTTTTCAATTTCTATTACAAATGGCTGCTTCTCAACCGGTCAGATCTGTTCTAATTGGTTCATGCTATTTCTCATGGGCTGCAATATATATCAGCGCTTATTGCTTGACATCTATTGCAGGCAATTCGATAGTTTGACAGTCATATTTTCATTAGAAAGAAAGCGTGCTGGTGGTAACATCGATGAAATTTTGATATTAAATCAAAATAAAAATCTGTTCCGTATTGGGTTATTTATGATTACGTATTAGGAAATTATTCAGCAAGTTTTTTTAATGATTTAAATGTTTTTAAACACCGAAATTGAGAGAATGTTGTCTGGTGGCGTCATGCGGCAAATGCTTATTTCAAGACATCAAAGTGCCCAGGCACAAAAAGTTGCAGTCATATTGCTCGTCAAAATGACAGTTGGTAGGCCATCGGTGTTTGCCTTGTGGAGTTCTGCGGTAAGGGTGGAATAAAAATTTTCGGGTGAAATTGTTTTTGGACGAAACTCAGGATATGGCAGATTAAAAAAGAAATTAAATTAGCACAAAACCGAAATAGCCGCCAATTCAGTTTCTATTTATCCGTTCATTCAACCAATCAATTCATCAATCAGTCAATTCATCGCGGCACCTGTCGTGCAATAGCGACGCATCGTCAACAATTCTTCCACATACACAAACCCTGCGTACGAGCGGGGGCAACAACCCCGAAAAAATCAAACCTTCAAAACGGAACGGCAAAACTTCCATTGATTTCCGTTAGTGGATTCCAATGATTTCCGGTAATGCATTCCAGACAAATGTGGAACGCAAAAAATACAAAACATTGGCACGAAAAAATCAACCCTGTGCATACGAATATACCTTCAAAACGGACAGTCAACAACAACAACAAAGCAACGGCATTATGGAGACACACACGTACACATGCACATGCATGGAACGCCTGCATTAGCGCAAAAAAACCACTGAAGCCACAGAAGTTCCCATGGCCATAGCCGACTATTTCTTGCACTTTTTCATTAAATTTCACTTGCATTCGTAAATTTAATATTTGTTAAAGTCACTTACCACACTCAGATTCCAATAGGAATGCGGTGAAAAGCACAAAACTAAAAACAGAAGCGCGACTGCGTCCGCGATACAACAACACTTCGGCCATTTTTAATTGAAATTGAAAGAGAAAATCAAAACACACGCACATCGCAAGGAAAAAATACGAATGACAATGGTAAAGGCGTAGAGTGAAAAGTAAACACATGGTTGCATTTTGTATCGATTATGCGAATTTTATATCGGTAAATCGAAATAATCAGCCCTATCGCCGATTCCATAGTGAAATATTTCTGCCCAATTTAATAGGCGGAACAAAAACTAATTAGAAAAAAATGTTGGATTGCTTTACAATTATGGCAATAATTGTTTACATATAATTCGTAACAAGGCGCCTGTGTATTGTGGCGATCTATATAGTAGAGATCGCCTGCTTTTAAATCAGTGCTGAATTTTAAGTCGAGCAGCTTAAATTGCCTGGATAGATTTGCGCCAAGTGCCTTATACTGCTCTTGACAATGTTGACCTTATTTTTTAAATAAAAAACTTAATTTAAAAAAGAACAGTGCTTCTATATTTTTCATCATACATTATACGTTCAGGATTCAACGTACAATTTAAATTTTATTACACCCTATTCTTCTCTAAACCACTTTTACATTAAAAATCATCCCATCCTTCGCGTAACCATCAACTATTGTTTACTTCTTGGATTTGCCAGTGGATTTCTGGCCGGGTTTCTTGGCAGCTGACTTGCCTCCCGCTGTTTTGCTAGCTTGCGCCTTGGCGGTTTTCTTCTCGGCTACGGGCTTTACTGGTTTTACCAACAATTCACGTTGGCTCTTCAGCGCCTTCACGATTTTCTGTTCCTCGATGAGGAAAGCACGAACGATACGCTCACGCAGACACCTGTGGCACAAAACACCACCATAGGTACGGGCAACGGTCTTTTGACGTTTCGACAGGCGGGAACGTTCGCATGGGCGTGTGGGGCGAATACCCTTTAGCTTCTCTTTACATTGACCACACTTTGGCACGGTCTTATTTTTCTTCACATATTGGTATACCAGACGACCGCCAGGTGTGCGCACACTGAAAAGAAACCAAATTTATTAGAGTTGTAGAGTAGTTAATGTAGTTAAGGAATGTAGCCGTGACATCAATGAATTGAACCGCACTTGCCGCACCAGCAGATATACAAATCATGTTTTATGCATTTGCCGGCTATCTTTAGTTCAATCAGAATGCAAACAAAGCACTACTCCATTGAGCTGGTAAACATTGATATCCGCAGTCACTTAGAAATTACTTTACGAAAACAAATGCCAATTCGTCACCACCGGCAGCATTCCTTACTCCAAATTGCATTTCATTGTTCAATAGCATTTACTTACATACGCCTCCTGTTGGACTTGGTGTTGTAGGAGAGACGTCTTCTCAGAGTCAAGCGTTGAACCATTTTGTCCGCTGTAGCAAAATAGTCGGCAGAGCCAACGCATTAGTGATTCCATTGTCATATCATATCGTATGTCAAGAGGAGCGAATTTATGCACATAAAAATAGATGGAAGAAAAATATACACATTAGTTTATCGATAAAACACGCACAAGGCATTCATTCAAGTCTAGGGATTGCCGATTTCTTCACATTTCAATGAATTTCGCTGATGTTTAAAGATTTTTTTGTATCGTTGTCGAAAAAACAGTACGCATACCTTCAAGAAATAAACTAGAAAGGAAGTCGTCGGCAATGCAGTGAAGCAAAGTGAACTTGGCTGCTATTAAAGGAAACTGTCAAAAATGTCAAAACTTTGTTTTGGGATCAAATGCAGTACCGGAAATCGGTTCGGAACACGGTTTTGGGATCAAAAGCAGTTCAGGAAATCGGTTCGGGACGCGGGTAGTGCATTTAATCCCAAACAAAGAAAGCTTTCTAAAAGGAAATGTCAAAATAACTAAAATTTGTGGGAGGCATTTACAATTTGTGTACAATTTTTTAATAGTTTCTTAAAAATTGGCTAACTTATCAATCAACAAGTAGTGCAATATTATAAAGGCAATGCAAAGTACACAAATTTGAAATTTTTACAAATAAATTTAACTTATTTAAATGTTTTATGAACAGACAGATAAGTAATTAAATTCATTTTTTAATAAGCATTTACATATCAATGGTCGAAGATTGGCAACACATAACTGAGAATTTTTCCCAAATTTAGTTATATTTAATTCAAAATAGGCATGGATTATAATATTCACAAAATATGCCGGGTTTGTCTGGAGGAAGGCGCACTCACCTCTATATATAGCACTGAATTTGCGATGATGCCTTGCACCATGTTGATGATGTGTGCCAAGATACGGGTACGCCAAAACGGACAACTGGAGTAATTTTAATTAAATTATTAAACGAAATGCTCTTTCAAGGTTTATAAAAGCGATGGCTTGCCAGCAGTCATATGCAATAATTGCATTTATCGTTTGGGAGTCGCTTATCACTTCAAGCAGGAGTGCGAAAACTCGGATATGAGGCTGCGTCAGTACCTGGGTTTGCAAGATCGGGGATATGGGTATATATTTAAATGTAGCCTTAGCAGTCATGTTTACTTTATTGTTTTAAATCTCCCTGCAAAATAGTTTCTGTGAAGCAGCAACCAACACAGATTTGGCAATTACATCTTTGGACAGTAAACCAAACGCGTACTTGGAGCAAGATTCAGAAGACGAGTCGGATGTGGGTGAAAATGTGAGAAAAAGGTGGGTATTTTTTGCATAACCACTTTTTAACTATTGTAATAAAACTTTCATTCAATTTAGTAAGCGCCGTTCGCGATACCAACGCAAGCCTCCTGAGCAACATAAGCGTCGCGGCCCCAAACCCATACCGAAGTTACCTCAAACCTGCTATGAGTGTAATAAAACTTTTAAATGTGCCGCACAACTGCAAATGCATTTGCGCACACATACGGGCGAAAAGCCATTCGCATGTAATTTCTGCCCTCGTCGCTTTGCCCAAAAGTATAATCTCCACATTCATCAACGCACTCACACTGGCGAGCGTCCTTTTCAATGTGAGATTTGTTCAAAGCAATTCTCTGCATTGGGAAACTTTCAAGCGCACCAAAAGATACACACTGGCATACGTGATCAACTGTGTCCAGTGTGTCAGAAGGCCTTCTATAGCGCCGGCGATCTTTCCAAACACATGGTAATACATACGCATTTAAAAAATCATCATTGCGATGTGTGTGGCAAGTCTTTTAGTCGTCAACGTGACATGCAGGCCCATAAACGTAAACAACATGTGCTGCAAGAGCGTAGCGAAGACGACGAAGATGAGGCAGTTGACACCTCCTGCCCGGATCCGGTGGTAGTGGTGGGTGGTGGTGTTGTGCCGGGCGCTTCCGTACTCCACGAAAGCTTCAAATGTCCAGACTGTGATAAGGAATTCGGGTCGGCGAGCAGTTTGAGTGTTCACTTTCGTACGCACGCCAATAGTAATTTGCTAAGTTTGCCACTTACCGGCCAAATGCCGCCACATCATTATCATGCACCGCCACCACCGCCGCCGTCAGCTCCCCCTCCACCGCAAACGCATGCTGCACTCGCCCACGATGGCTTGCAT